AAAAGGCAATGCGAAATTTTGATCATAGCGGCACTTTAAAGCTTATTGGGATGTCCCTATATACGCTGATCAACAAGAGGTCAGATGCAATAGGGTGGATGCACGCATTGTAAATCGTATGTGTAAGAAAGTTGTGATGCTGGAAATGAACTGCCCGTGGGTTAACAATCGGACAAGAAAGGATGAAGAGAAGACTCTTAAGTACAGACCCCGTCGCTGGGAACTAAGGCAGCAGTTCCCAGGCTACGAGGTGAACCCATATAACACCATAATGGATGCCCTCGAGGGGTGGTCACGGGAGCTGGATGTCATGATATGCGAACTGGTGGGAGGCAGAAGCACAGACGTACTGCAAAAGATGCCGAGGGCAGTGCTCTCGGGCACGTTGAATATTGCCCGAAATCTCAACGGTGGCAGTTTGAGTTCCTGTTAGAAGGAGGATCGTATACAAAACGTAAAAACTTTTTAGGATTAGTTCATGAACATTTATTTTATACTCCATGGTTCACAGGTTACGGTTTTCGCCCTGTGTTGCTTGGTTAGAAGGTAGCATTCAATTGAATTCTTTGCGATAATAATCATGGCGGCGAGTAGGACGGACGTGTGTCATCATCTCTGATAGAATTCGTTCCCAACGAAAGTGAGCCAAGTCTAGAGCACTTGTGTATATCCAGGAAAGTATCGTATACACTTTTCAGTTTGTTGAGCTATTCGGCGAGGCGATTTAGTGTCTCTATAAGAGTGAATTGGGAGATTTTTGTTTGTTTGTTCAGAGTTTAACCGAAGATTATGGCGAGCAGTGAGACCTCAGGATAACTACTTCGAGGCAATAGCGGGAAGATAAAATGGACAGAGGGTATAAACAACTTTCTGCTGGACTGTATGAGTAAAGCAAAGATGTTAGTTAAGTCGGAGAATCCGCCTCGACTGGAAAATGGAAGAAAGAAAGGATACATGCGGATAATGAAAGAATTGTGGGATGACTCGGGTTTTGGGAAATTGGAGTTAACAAGTCAGAACTTAAGGAATCAAGCTGCGCGCCTAAAAAAGACTATAGGAGATGTAAGAGTTGCCATGTCTGAAATTGTTTGATAAGGGGTTCGGGAAGAGGAATCGACGATTAGAGATTTTAATGCTCGTAACTTGGAGTCAACTAATTTCGAAGTCTATTCATGAAGACGCAGATTTGCATTGGGTGACTGTGGGGGCTAGCCCCATGAGACCTGCTGATGTTCTTAATCAACAAACACGCGATCTATTAGACTCATGAAATGTGATTTTCGCAGGTGTGCACACCCCAAAAGGCGAGTTTGGTGAACCAGAGTTCGATACACGCATAAAGGAAAGACCAACTAAGTGTGACTTAAATAATATCAACCGGACAATTGTTTGATATGAGAGCCCCACTGAAAACTGCCATGGCGATTTGGGCTCCCTTGTTAAATATTATAATTATTATTATTATTATTATTATTATTATTATTATTACTATTATTATTATTATTATTATTATCATTATTGTTATTATAGTTAAGCTAACGGAGCATCATCAAGTGTCCCTAAGGGAGAATCCTCTCAGTTATTTGTGGACTGCGAACTGTACATGTGTGCTTTACTCTGTTGTGTTGGCTTTTCTATTGAACAAAGGCTAGAAAAAGCAGCGTAGCGGAATTTCTGGCAGAGCGCGTAAGCAACAGAGATGGAAAAGAGAATACGAAGAGCGAGTGTTAGAAGTCAGGAAAAATATTTCAATCGCAGAGGCCGAACGGATGCGTTTAAAGGAAACAGGAAAATAACAAAAAAAGGAAAAAGAAATCAGGCCCTTCTCGAACAGGAATGTAAGGGCTTGTCCGCTGTTAAGCTACTTAGCTACATGAAAAAACAGAAATGCATCCTAAGAAAGCTGAAGAGATGCTTTTCTAGGAGCAAGAGATAGGAAGAAATTCGAGTCCTTAATCAAGAATTCCAGACCGACGCTAGCAGGGTATACGCGAACATGCGGGAAATGCTAAATAGTGACAAGGAGAATGACCGGACGCGATACATAGCGGATGATCAGGTGAACCAAGGGGAGAGAGAACGGTTTCACAATTTCGAGGAAGCAAGTGAATTTTGGAAAACTCTATGGTAGACAGAGGGGACAGGAGACAGGAATGTAGCGTGGTTAGAAGAGATCAGATCTACGATCCATAGTAGAGTATCAGAACCGGCCGAGGAGGGCTGGGACTTGAATGAGACGGATGCGGCAAAGGTGCTGAACAAGAAGAAGAAGTGGAGCGCACCGGACCCAGATCGTTTGGCATACTTCTGGTGGAAACGTGCTTACTCTCTTCATAAGGGCATGGCAACTGCATTCCGAGCGACTTCAAGGAGTGATAGAGTACCCCCAGGGGTTTTCGGAGGGGAAATGGAAACTTTATTTGTGTTTTTAAATGTACAATTGTAAATATCTTTATGTATAGGCAATTTACAAATGCTCTTGAGATTGGCTTATTCAACACACACACAAAAATCAAAATTGCATCAAATCTGGGTTGTCCCAATTCCTATTTCTACAACAAAAGACGTAATATGTTGCTCTAATAGCTACATTTATCATTTTCTTCATTATGTAAAGTTGCTGCGTTTTTCGGAGGGGAAATAATAATAACAATAATATAATCTTTATTTAGCGCCGAAGAAACGCTTAGCTGAAGCTAGTTTACAGGTTTTCCACAAAGAAATAACTGAAACAAATAGTTCAAATTTAAGATAACATTATTAAGAATCTCAACTCGCCGTAGGCAAACCAGTTGGCTATTTACAAGCATGGCCGTGGATTTGAACTCGGAGCTACCGTAAAACAAACCCAGGTACTGGCCAGGGTGGGACTCTAACCCGGGAGCAGCAGATCATAAGTCCGACACGCTGACCACTCGGCCACACTGCCTTGCATCACTAATTCCCAAACCTGGGGAATTTAGTAGTGACAATCAAAGACCGCTCACGTGTTTGAATACCATTTATAAATGGTATACATCGTGCCTACTTGTCCCAATTGACTAACATCTTAATCACTATGAACTGATGGAAGGTGCGCAAAGGGGTGCGCGTGCTGTATCGATGTAGTGGGACTGTTGACAACTTGCTCATTGGCCGGATGGTCACGCTAGACTGCCATAAGAGGAAGCGTAATCTCAATATGGGATGGGTAGATGTTCAGAAGGCATGACTCTATAGACCATGGTTGGCTAGAGGAGATGATGCTTATGCACAGGTTCCCCACCTGATTGTGTATGGCTATCCAGAATTTGTCAAAAAGCTGGAGTACCAGAATAGTGACCACCACAAGAAAGGGGAGAGAAGTCTCGGAAAATATGCGATTTAGAAACGGCCTTCCACAGGGCGATGCCTCAAGCTACCAGTGGCTTAGAAATGAAAAAGAAATTGATGCTTCAGTGTAAAGGAAATGCCGTCAAAAATCATCTTTTAATGATTAACTGCGTTTCATTTGTTTAAACCAATTGTTTTTTTTTTTCTAATCTTTTAGCAGCTCTCGGGTGAAAATAGAGAAGAACAAATTACGTGTGATTCATGTGGACAGCTGGCACGATGCCGTGTTCCAGTGTGTTATAGAAAATGATCAAGGAATGGAAGTGTCCTTTTTGAGTTGATGTTGAGGTTTTGTTCAACACTCTTCTCCTATCTGTATTCGTGCTGCAGTCAAAGATATATGTGGCAAGCCCTTTAGATTTTATGGAGACTAAGAATTCTTTGATTCCCTGTAGAACATTTGACTGAGTATGCTCAACAGGTTTTTATCTGGTATTTTTGACACATANNNAATCCAGGTACTTAAGTGGTCATGAATATTTTAATCCTGAGCGACCTATTCCTGAATATCTCGAGCTTGTAAACAACACCCAGGTGCCAGCTAAAAATACCGCGTCAAATGCGCAAACAAAGGGGCCTGGAAAAGATTATTATGTTCCAATGGAAAATGGCCAGTCCAATAATGTTTTAGATAATTATTCGCCACAAGGCTACGTCCTGAAGGAAAACGGCATGCGCATCAATGCCTCAAATAGCTCGACACCAGAGGATTATGGTTCCAATCGATGCATCTAGTACGAGAAATAATCCTTCTTTGCCTGCGGCAGGAAGATCTGATGGATCAGCTGTTGAAACTAAAGATCGAACTTCCTCAGGAGACTATTACCAGCCTATGGCGAACAATGGTGGCTCAAGTGAGCAGGGAAGCCCACAGACCTCTCCCCTTGGGGATTATTATTCACCGATGGCAGGAAGTACTCTCAGTGGACCAGCGAGCAGCGCAAATGCCCATGATGAAGTTATGTCCAGCAAACTGTAAGGGATTGTGTTGTAGTGGAATTCAAACCATCCGAGAAGTGTTTCCAAAATTTTTTGTTAATCGATCTTTGTGTCATTCAACCTGTTTTAAGAAAACCCGTTTCTGAAAGCTTCCTTTTAATTTCATGTAAGATTCTAACTTTCAACGTTTTAATCTCGTTAGTGGCCTCACTAGGAAACAGATTTGACAAGGTCTCCATTCTTTTTAAGCATCGAATAATCAAATTTCAGTTTGAAAGTTATTTTAACGCCTAATGAATAATTATGTCAAAGTAATACAAAATTTTAATACAAAATTTAGGCGTGTACCTAATGCTCATTACGTGGAATCTCTTCTCATTAAGAAAGCAATTATATCTCCTCTGGGAATCATGTCATAGCGCATACATATTTAAGCTTACACACTTCAGACTGCAACGTACATTTCGCATCTGAAAACTATGCAATCTTGAAAGTGAAGTATGAATTTTTACGTGAAAAACGGATAGAATGGAAGGCCTATGCAAGCACTAACGATCATTAGCAAAAATCATACGCAGAGCAAAAAGAAATTAAACATATCTTGAGTCAAGAACATCGATAAATGATATACACGGTGCTAATAAATATCTTATTATTAAGCATTTATTACGTATATTAATATACGTTTTGTGAGTTTTAGTATATTTACTTACAATGCGTTATGAGCTTGTTTATTATGCCGCTGTAACTGTTGTGAGATCTTTACTCAAGAATACAGCTAGGTCATAGCCAATGATAATCATAAATGAAAACTTAGAACTACGATGGTCAACGACAATCAATATTCCTTTGCTTAGATATATCTTGGCGCTGGAAATTCGTTACAGCATTGAAAGGGAAGTAGACTAAGCAGAGCCTTCTTTTGGGCGAAGTCCTTCGTGCGAGTCAGGAGAGACGGCTCGTAGCCTAAAACAAAAGTAGTTCAGACGTCGGCATTCGGAACAAATGAAATGGTCTTAGCCTAACAGTCTTCGTTGAATCTCGTCCATTATTTGAGCCAGTTCTTCTGGGTCAGGTAGCTCGTGTATCGCCCTCTTTCCTAAATGCCTGTTGCTGGGTCTCTCTAGCTGCATCTCAACTTGCTGTAAGATCTGCAGCGTGTCATCTGTTAGAACAGATTCAATATCACATGCAATTAAAGATACTGGATCTCAAATTTGAGTAGGTTCCCCGATTTGGATCGATCCTCTCATTTGAAACTCTCTGATTTGCTTTGTCCAGGTTGTGAACAAAAGAGGATGAAAACTAGCGATTCTCTCTCACTTGTACAATTTGCTTTCCTCCACTGACAGAGAGTCTCGCCGCCCATTGTCTCACCAAAATATTTTTTTGTTTGTCACCCGTATTTTTTCATTTCTTTTTCCCTTTGGAACTCTGAAGTCTGACTTTAGAATACATGAAAATCGTACCTGGCATGCACTGCGATATTAATAAATGTATATGAAAGCGATCCTCGTAATAATGAACACTACTTAAGTAGGAAATAAAATAAGGCCTGAAAAAATTAAGGCATGTACGGGATTTGAAGCCATGACCTCTGTTATCAGTATATTTTCATAGATTAAAATGAACTGCCATGAACGTCATCTATAATATACTGTTCGTTGTTTTTCCGAAATGGAATGTTAGCCTGATTGAGGTAAACTCACCAGTTTGGGCGCCTGGGTAGGGGGAGGTCTTTAAACATCAATGGACTCACCTCTGGACTTATAAGACGAATAAGTAGAGAATCTTTTCTACCTTACGGCTTAATTTTTGGATTCTGATTACAATTTTTTTTCACTTACTTCGGAAATTTTCAAAAGCTTCGTTGGTAATTTGTCCTCGGATGAGTCCTTGGAGCTAATAAAGAAAGAGAAAATAATTATATAATTATTAATTAAATTAGGCGCGTATTCATTTACAACATTTTCAAGGCTAAAATTCGTCCTAAAGCTTGCGGAGACCAATGTGTAACTGCTAGGATTTGTTTCGAGTCAAAGCTTTGGTTTTATTTTCCTGGGAGAGCATTATCATTATTATTATTAACATCATGATTCTCTTCCTTTTAATCGCACACGCAACGAAATAATAGCGATATATTGCATATTTTTTTCTCTTATTAATTCCAGATTGCTATTTACTAAGGGTTTACCTTACAGATTTATTGTTTTAATATATTTTTTCTGTCTGGCCTGAGATTTGAGTAAAGGAAAAAGTAAGGAAAAAGCTGACGAGTGATCGTATTTTTCGATTTGCTGTCATTGGAGTTGACTGGTGTGTTCGTCTATGAGAACGTATTAGGATAAAATACATATTTACTCACCCTCAATATGATTCGAGCGAGAGAAATGAGTAAATCAGAAAGAACCCTGTTAACAAGAATATGATATAGTATGTTAAATTCAAGAGTAAATATGTCGATCAAAGGATCCACTGCTTTGCCAACTCTGTCATGATGATGGTCTAAAACAAACTCATCACACGTTAAGCTATCTGCCCACAGAATAAATTTAAAAAGTGTTTCCTGTGTATGAAAAAGAATAATGTCAACCGAAACTTTTCCGAAACAGGCGCAGCGTACTAAACACGATGTTTATGCACACTCGTACTAAAAACCAAGTTGGTTGACATGAAGCAATTAGATGTGGAACTTACCTTCGAACTTCCGTTGGGAGGGTCGCAGATGGGGAATTTGATGGTGGTTGCGCTGTGTTGGGCAAGGTTACGTTATTAAAAGGAGTAAAAGATGTAGGGCGTGGCACTGAAAAACGAATTGTTAACTGTTAATGTCATTATCGGCGAACTTTCCCGATTTTACTTTTAAAAAAATCAAAAGTGTCTCTATCGGCACAGTTATACTCATGATTATTGGATGTTCATACCACTGCTCTGTGTTAAACCTTTCAAACTGTACACTCAAAACGCTGTCGGTGGGGATACGAAGAGTCCACAGGCAGTTCAAATTATTTGAGTAAGAAAATGGATATCCAGGAGTTGCAAATGTTCCACTAGTACTGTTTAGTAGCCCTCCACATCCTAAAAAAAATCAGTATGCAAGGAATGTCGAACATGTCAGACTTGGTCCGCCGAAGTAAGGGCTCTTATTTGCTATAGAAGAAACAGTTGATGTTGACAATAGAGAACAAAAAGACAGAAGTGCTAGTAAATCAATGCAAAAAAAGGGGATAAGTTCCTAAAGAAAGTGTGGTGTTGCGTCGGTGGGCGTAAAAAGGTAAATTTGGTTTTATCAACTGAGTTGATAATGTAAAGCGTTTCAAGACTGACGTTTCATTTGTTAGCCTTTCTTCAGAGCAAATGAAAAAAAAAAGATAGGTTTATGAGGCCGTGATCGATTGTGATGTGTCTTCTGTCTTCTACACTAAGAAGGAGCCCAAAGTGTTAAACAGATGGCTACATCTTTTGATAACGTTACACCGCAAGCAAAAAATGATAAAAAAAGATTAGTTTTTTTTGATGGAGGAGTTTTACCTTGATTCAAAACGAAATTCTTTGAATACGGCTGCAAGGAAATTCAAATGTGTAGCTGCTTAGCGGGCAAAGCTGAGAATTTTTGAATCAGCCCTGGGTTTATTCTTACAATGCCGAGAGTTTAAGTCGATTTAAGTATGCAATATTAGGGAAGGTATGGATTGCAGAGGGATATTGAAAGAACCCGCCTCCCTGCGCTTTAGCTCGGCTGAGCTCGGTCCTTAAACCAGGACCACAAAATCTGAGTGCGTTTGATTGCTTAGACTGACCTATATAAAAAAAATTAAATCAGAACCGTAATTTTTGGAAATTCGAGAAAGTTTACATACCTGTAAAAGGCGGTTGTGTAGTCACTTGAGGAGATGGAGACGATGTCGCATTAACTACTCCAGAGGCTGATGATGGTGTTGGCTGCAGTGTCGCTGATGGAAAAGCTAAAGATAAAGAATACCACACCCTTAGGCTATGATATCAAGTACAATCATCTCTATCGACGTTGAAAGTTAGTTTTCAGTGGACATGGTAACCTTGTTATGTCATTCAGTGTCACCGTTGTTCCGCCATCGTGCGGCTTTCTCGGGCTTTTGTATACTGTAATAGTGATTTAATAACTTACTAGGTAGATGAGTCGCTGTAGGCGTAATGGCAGCTAATAGAAGAAAGTTTCTGAAACCTCTAGATCTGACACCGTGTAAAGTCAATAGGCCTGACTGGGCGTCATTCGTTCTATGGTATGCCCATATAAGGAAACTCGTATTCACTTAGAACTACTAAGGCTGGCGAAGGATTAGGGTAATCAACACATATACACACAACAAGCCGTAGTCATGTGTAACTACTTCAAGAATTTACAGTTTTCTCACCAAATATTAAGTTGTAGCGAGCCAAGAAACCAGGTCTTACGACAGATCCATCAGTTGTTAATGTGATATAAAGAAATTGACTCCTGTCGCCTCTCACTGTGACGTTGAATCCATTCCTAGAACCACTCAGCCTTGCTAACCGCCCGGTGCTGACTGTCAGCTCAACAAAATCACAGCTTCAACAAAAAAGGAAAGAAAGGGAAACCATTAGGCCGCATTTTCAATTCCAATTCTTTTTCCTTGCGTTTCTTTGCCACATTTACCTTGCAATGTTATAGCAAGCTAAGTGTTAAGGTAAATTTCAAGTAAAGTCAGAAACTCCTCTGTGGTCGTAAACAAAGCGAAAGTCTTCTTTTCTGACAAATGCACATTCCAAGAATATGAACGATCAAGTCGCAGCTCATTGCAGCTTGGCATCTCATTGGTTAACAGGTTTGAGCAATTTTTCATCGCAACTTATCATGATGGCAAAACCAAAGGAATCCAATTTTACTTTTAAAAAAATTGAAAGTTTCTCTACCGGCACAGTTACACTCATGATTATTGGATGTACATACCACTGCTCCGTGTTAAACCTTTCAAACTGTAGAATCAAAACGCTATCGGTAGGTATACGAAGAGTCCATAGGCAGTTCAAATTGTTGAAGTAAGAAAGTGGATATCCAGGAGTTGCAAATGTTCCACTTGTACTGTTTAGTGTTCCGCCACACCCTTGAAAAAAAAATTACCATGCAACAAGTGTCGAACATGTGAAACTTTTGACTGAACAAAAAGACAAAAGAACGAGTAAACAAGGAGAAAGATATAAGGGTAACGAGGCCGGGATCTATTGTGAAGTGTCCTGTGTCATCTAAACTAAGAAGGAACCCAAAGTGGTTGACAGGGAGCTTTATCTTATAATAACGGTACACCGAAAACAAACAACTAATAGAAATTGCAAACTCTTTTGATGGAGGGGAGTTATAATGAGACAGCACGAAATTCTTTTGATCAATCTACAAAAATATTAAAATGTAAAGCAGCTGCTTGGTGAGTAGAGCTGAGAATTTTTGTATTGGCACTGGAAGCTCAACAAAAGCCGAGAGTTGTTCGATTTAGTAAAGTACTATTAGGGAAGGCGTGGATTGCAGACTGGTACTGGTATAAGTGAAAGACCTCGGCCAGCTGAGCTTGATCCTCAGTTGAACAAGGAGCGCGAACTCTGAGAGCGTTTGATGTCTTGGACTGCCTTATATCAAAAATTAAAATGAGTACCGTAATTTTTTGAAAATTCGAGAACATTTACGTACCCGTAGAAGGTGGTTGTGTCGCATTCATTCCTCCAAAAGCTGAAAATGGTGTTGGCTGGAGTGTCGTTGGTGGAAAACCTAAAGATAAACAACACCACACCCTGAGGCCGAGATATTAAGTGCGATGATCGATCTCTAACGACGTCGAAAGTTAATTTTTAGCGGGCTTGGTAACCTTGTTATAATTATCATTCCCTTTTGCTGTTATTCCGCTATCCTGCAGATATCTCGGTTATCTACTAGTCATAATAATGACTTACCAGTTGGACGTGTCGCTGTGGGC